TTAGTGTGTACCTATCCGCCTCTATTTTAAAGTCAAATTCAAACACCATCACTCTTGCATTTAAATTTATTTAATACCATCTTGTCTCAATCGACTGTTCTCAAAGTGTATAGTCATCCTCTCTATCCAAAATATAGGTTCCTAGGGGCCCCAGGGTGGCTCAGTCAGTTAAGCATCAACTTCAGCTCAGGTCATGATCTCATGGTTCGTGGGTTTGAGCCCTGCGTCGGGCTCTGTGCTGATGGCTAGCTCAGAGCCTAGAGCCTGTCTTCGGATTCTGTGTCTCCCTCTGTCTCTGACCCTCCCCTGCTCACACTGTCTCTCTCTCTCAAAATTAAATAAAACATTAAAAAAAATTTTTTTTTAATATATAGGTTCCTAGAAAGAAGGAGTAACAATCTCTTACTAGTTGTTTTCTTTCCTCTCATCACTGTGCTTCCACTAAAACAGATCATGATAGAACAGGTGCTCAAAAATATGCTCTGAATTTAAGTAAAAAAGTGAAACTGGAAGTAGAATACTCCTCCTCCTACTACTTATTACTAATTACTAAGTAAAGTACAGTAAGAGTGGACATAGACCACTATATCAACCACTAGACTATCACTTTCCACAAAGCCTCAAATCCAGTGGGACCATCCAAATCCGGAGGCAGTCCACTCACTATCCCTTCTATATAACCACCATATGGAGAGATTTGCTTCTTCAGTGGTACCTGGGAACAATAGAAGGATTTAAAACTATTCTATTATCAGCCATCTCTTTTCAAGAGCTTGACCTCCAAAAAGAAGTGAAGGATGATACTCAGGGCCAGCATCCAAACAGGGCAAAAACCAACTGCTACACCCTTAAGTAGATGATTTGGGAAAACTTATTAAATTCCGCTTTGTCACAAACCTGTTGCCCTCCAACAAGCAGGTTTTAAGTGCCATAATACATTCTACACACTAAGTATTAAAAAGTATCACCCAGGGGCACCTGGGTGGCTCAGTCGGTTAAGTGACCAACATTTAATTTCAGCTCAGGTCACAAACTCACAGTTCAGGGATCGAGCCCCACATCAGGCTCACACACTCTCTCAAAATACATAAATAAAAAAACATTTTTTTAAAAAGAGCATCGGGGCGCCTGGGTGGCTTAGTCGGTTAAGCGTCCGACTTTCGCTTAGGTCATGATCTCGCGGTTCGTGGGTTCGAGCCCCGCGTCGGGCTCTGTGCTGACTGTCAGCTCAGAGCCTGGAGCCTGTTTCAGAGTCTGTGACTCCTTCTCTCTCTGACCCTCTCCTGCTCACGCTGTCTCTCTCTCTCTCTCTCCCCTAGAAATAAATAAAACATTAAAAAAAAATTAAAATAAAATAAAATAAAATAAAATAAAATGTAAGGAAGTAGGACTTGTCCATAGCTTTTCCATAAATACCTCCCCTAAATTCTTTCAGTTCAGCTTTTATAAATGCTAATTTTAACTCACACCTCCGAATTATTTCTTTTCCCATTTTCCTACACTGACCCCAAAGGCTTTAGGATATCCTCATCAGTCAAGTTGGGCAAAGAATAAACAAGACAAAGANTGACTGCCAGCTCAGAGCCTGGAGCCTGTTTCAGTCTGTGACTCCCTCTCTCTCTGACCCTCCCCTGCTCACGCTGTCTCTCTCTCTCTCCTAGAAATAAATAAAACATTAAAAAAAAAAAAAAAAGAAAGGTTCAAGTGTTTATTACTTCTTCCAGCTCTTTATTTTTGAGAGAGAGAGAGAGAGAGAGAGCACAGGGAGGGGCAGAAAGAGAGGGAGAGAGACAGAATCCCAACCAGGCCCTGCACTCTCGGCACAAAGCCCAAAGTGGGGCTCAAACCCAGGAACCATGAGATCACGAACTGAGCCAAAATCAAGAGTGAGACGCTTAACTGACCAAGCCACTCAGGCGCCCCATTACCTCCTCCAGCTTTTATTGGGTCTCTCTTAATGGCCAGTGCCGAAAACAAAAATCACAAGTTAGAAGTCAACCAAAGGGCATATTACTCCAGTTTTCCACCTCCCAAGGAAAGTGCCAATTTGAACAAAGTTCCCAACTTCATAGGTTTTTAAAAATTATTTCTACATATGCCATCACATGAAAGAAAAGCAATTCTCATTACCTTCCTAAGACTCCACAGCAATATACCAAGTTGCAAAGAGCTGCCTAAATGGTTCCTTCTTTCCCTACCTTAAATGCCCTCCTCCCTAAGTATTGATGCCTTAAGAAGGGCCAGAAACAGAGTGCTAACTAATTTATATGATTATCTCAATCCTCAAAACAGTAGGTACCATTATTATCCCCAGAAGAGAAAACTAAAGTTTCAAAACATTTGAAAAATAAAAGCTTGGGGGTGCCTGGGAGACTCAGTTGGTTAAGCCATCTGACTCAATTCTGGCCCAGGTCATGATCTCACGGTTTGTGAGTTCAAGCCCCACATCAGTCTCTATGCTGACAGCATGAAGTATGCTTAAGATTCTCTCTCTCTTGGGGCACCTGGGTGGCTTAGTCGGTTAAGCGTCCGACTTAGGTCACGATCTCGCAGTTCGTGGGTTCGAGCCCCGCGTCGGGCTCTGTGCTGACTGCCAGCTCAGAGCCTGGAGCCTGTTTCAATCTGTGACTCCCTCTCTCTCTGACCCTCCCCTGCTCACGCTGTCTCTCTCTCTCTCTCTCTCCCTCTCTCTCTCCTAGAAATGAATTTAAAAAAAAACAAAAAACATTAAAAAAAAAAAAGATTCTCTCTCTCTTCCCCTTCCCAGCTCATGTTCTCTCTCTCTCTCTCAAAATGAAATGAAATTAAATTAAAAGAAAAACTTCTGAGGTGAGCTTACAGGAGGGGATTCTGGTAATGTACAAAGAAATTTGCTGGGAATATATATTAGGCTCAATGACTTTTGCTAGGAGAAATCCTCAAACAGAATATTTCACACAGAAAGCATAACTAATATTTGGCCAAACTGTGTGTTTTCTTTGACACTGTGTATTTCAGGATACCTGGCACATAATAGGTGCCAATGAAAACATGTCTGTTCAAACCTAAATTTTAAATAATTCATAAAACAATTTGATTACATGGCAAAATCTGACAGGTTATTTGTTTTAACTAGATTAGTCTGTACAACAATCAATAATTATATTTACACCTAAAGTAATAACCTCATATCCTGAAGTGTTTTTAGCTAAAGCAGAAAAAAAGTGAAAATGGTGGAAATAGCTGTGTATCTTTTAAAGTTTTTCTCATTACAAAATTCCACTCAAAATTTTAACATGTCATCTCAATTTATACAATACTATTGATTTATTCTTAGCCATCTTAAAATAACCTATCGTGAGAGTTTTAGCATAGCCATGAAAAGCACTGTTCATTTAACCAATATTTTTCAAATAAGTAAAAGAAAAAATCTGAGCCACCTTTGAGTAGTGTATCAAAGAAGGTGCATCTGCAGATTATGTACTGTAAGGAAACCTGTTATCTGATTAAGTTGGACCTTAGCTGAGACAAAATGGTAAAGCTGATTAAGTTAGGGCACTAGCAGTTAACTGATGTTTGAATTTGATAGCTGGTAGGATGAGTTCTGTGAACACTCACTTTAAATGATTATGGGTAATCTACAAGTCTTTTAGGCATCTACACTTAAGTTTCCAGGGAGAAAAAAAGGTCTGTTCCATAGGTAAATGAACATCTGGTGTTATACAGAAAAATTAACATATTTTTCAGTTCTCATCCTACACACAGAGTAGGGCATAGGTATTATGCAAGCACAATCTTTTCCTCCTTTCTTTTAAAAATGATTTATATAATAATTCTTTAATTCAGTAGCAACAGAAATATTTTTTTTTTTTTGAGTCTCAGGCTTCTTTCATTTCAAAACACTACTCTTGAAGACTTAAATTCTTCTTTTAAAAAGACTTAATCATTTAACTCAGAAAGAGAGCAAAAGGTCAGGAGGTGAAACCCAAGGTATTCCTATTAGTCTTACATAACTTACTCTAAATTGGAACTGATTCAATAGCTCAACTAAAACCTGAGGTATAAGCACAAAAATGAGCTTAGTATACTCTCCACACATAAAAGAGTTTTAAAAATTGAAAGGCCCTTACTTTTTTTTCTTGTATTCTTAAGCTATAAGCACCCACTACAGAATTAGGGTGCCGACGTAAAAATACAAAAGAGTCACACTTAAAGAGCATTAAATTCATCCCATCACCTCGAAGTAATGCAATTGACAGAATTCGATATAATTTCAGAAAATAAATTAATTTCTTAACGCTTATTTTTAAGTATCACCTCTGTAAGTGTGCGTTAAGTATTTTTTTAAGTTCTTGCAGGGAACATCAAAAAGTAATTTTCAAAAGCAATACATGTATATTTATCCATCTTGCAAACAAAACTGAAAATGTAAAGTTACAGTTATTAGTGCTTAATGAAATTGACTTTGAAAATTGCAAATTACTCCTTCAAGGTAAATATGTATCAAATCTTTCAAAAATGTAAATTTACATAAACAACTGTCCTTACTAGGAAGGCTCCGATCTGAACTCAATTAAAAGCTATGTTGTTAACTACATCTCACGCTGAGACAGCTGAGCCTCAGTGTAACACCGGCCACGGATTCCCTGCATTGCTTCAGAAACTGCTGCTGGCTTTATTAAAGCACTCAACTGCAAATCCACCTTTCTAAAAAGACTGGAAGCAAGAAGCCAAGTTTCACTATCTAGTTTTCCAAAATGAATTAGGGTTTGGGATTTCACTGGGAATGACCACATTATCAAGATGCCATCGCCCTCCCCAGGCATTTAATTACAGTACCTTCTCTGTTTCCATTCAACCACCTCAACTAAACTTCCAAAAGAATCAGACACACAAAAAGTTGCTTCCGTGGCCTTGCTGAGAGTCTCCTCTGGGTGCAAACCCTAGGATTCTGCGTGTATTAGGCAGAAAGGGCAAAGGGAAACAAAAGTAAAGATTGTTAGATTACGTGGTGACATTACCTTGCCCGTCTTGTGATCAAACCAGACGAGAGCATGGTTCCTTGACAGCACTTTGCAATCAAAGGTAGCATTATTCTGCGCTGGTCGACAGCGGGCCACGGAGCGGCCGATTTTAATAGGTTCGTCCAGGTAGACATGGCGCTCCTGAAACGGGTGCGAGTTCGGGCGGCAAGTGAAGATGGCCAAGGCTGACGGCATCGAGGACAGACTGGGGTGTCTCTCCTACCAAGGGACAAAGAGGGGTTCCACCGGATCCGGGCTGCCCTTCACAAGCCTTTACCCCCCCTATCCCCCCCAAAATTTTAAATTAAAACAAACTGCGCATTGTCTAAGCATAACCAGTGAACATCAACAACTCTTCACTTGAGGGGGAAGACAAGCCAGCGCAAGCCCCATCACCTCCTTTAAAACCCAGCAGCGCCCTGATCACCCAAAGTCCCCAACTGGCAGCTTTCAGTCCATCGTCTTCCCTGGGAAGAAAAGGCTCAAACATCGGACAGCTTCGGCCAAGAAAACTCCTGGAAGACAGTTGAGGGACTGGAGGTATCCAAGCAGATGAGTCACACCCCAATTCTTGTGTTTTGTTTGGGATCGCGGCCGCTTTTCCCCCTCGGTGGCGGAAATGTTGCAGCACTGCAGCATGAAGGAAGGGTCGGTTCCGTGCGGCCGGGAAGGTCCTTTCGGGCCGAAGGAAGGTGTAGCCGAGCACCCCTGGGCAGCCACCGCTCGTCTTCGAGGGCCCCGGGAGCGGAAGGGCAGAGGCGAGGGGGTCTAGACGGCAAGCGGGACAGTCTGCATTGCTCTTGCTGCGCGGAGGCCGCCCGGGAGGTGGCACGGGGTCCCTGGCACGAGCCGAGGCGGCGGCGGCGGGGGTCCTCGGCGCGAGGAGCGGGGACAGGCAGAGGCGCGGGCAGCGGCCGAGTGTGGGGACTCCCGGGCACCTGGCGGGCGTCCCCGCGCCCGGGGCGGGGATCCGGCTGGGCAGGCCGGTGCGGACCGAGCGAGGCGCAACCCCGGGGAGGCTTGGGGGGTCTCGGCCCGCAGGAAGTTGGTCCCTGAACGCCTGGGCTCCTGGCTGCTGCTCAGCACCCGGGCAGCCTTCCTTCAGGGTCGCCCCCACGAGGGTCGCATCTCAGGGACGGCAGCCGCAGCTCCCAGCGGACGAGGTGGGGGAGGGAGGCTGGCCCGGAGATTGGGGGAGAGGCCTGGAGGCCCCGGGCTGGGTCCGCCGCAGCCTCCACCACTCGCGGCCGGTGGAACACGCTCAGGCTGGGCCCGACAAGGCAGGAAACTTTCCGACCTGGTGGGGAAAACATCAAAACAAACGGCCGTCAGGCGCCGGTGCCCGCCCGCCTCAGCCCGCACCCCCTTCAACCCGCCCCCTGCCAGTCCCCACGACTGGCCAAGACCTCGGCCGACCTCTCCGCGGGCGAGCTGCAGGGATTTAGAGCCCGAACGCCACGACGGGTCCAGCCTCCCTCGCCGCCGCCGCCGCCTCAGCTTACCTTGCCAGCGCCGGCCGCCATAGTGACTCTGACTGAAACCTACCCGGTGCACCGCCACGGGAACGCGCACCCTTCAAGGGCCCTCCTACCCCCTCTCCCGCGCCGTAGTCCAGGTCGTCACGTGTTCGACGCCGTGGAAGCCATGACAGTCAAGGGCAGAGAAGAGGGCAAGCTAATTTTTAAAGAGCCTCCAGACGCCATGTTAGTTAAGGGCTGGAAGCTTCAAACCGTGGGACAACCGCTACAACCATTTTCGTTAAGGGCAAGAGAAAATTTGACCTGTTGAAGGCTTTCCGAACAAAAGGTGACAACTTCCTACGTTACCATCTTGGTAAGAAGACCAGATTTTACTAAATTTTACTTACTGTACTCCTCGCTGAAGATACCGATAAGCGAAGAGAACAGACTCATCTGAAGGAGATGTTCGTTTGCAGTCATCTTAGCTGTGGGCAACAGTCCCCTACGGCCGCCTTAGGTGTGGCCAACCAGATTCCCACAAGTCTCAGGATTTGTGCATCTAAAATGAGATCCCTCCTCCCCCTGCTAAAGTCTTCTGTGAATCCTGCCCAGAGAAAAACTCTTTCTTAGTCTCCGCATTCCATTTCGAATGACCCTTCTTCTCTTGGGACCTATCACGTCCCCCAGGGCTCCAGTGCAGATACTATCCCGGAAAGAGTGTGACTTCAGAAAGTTTAAAATCACTGTGCTTCCAGAGAAAGGTCAAACAATTACCAATATGACAAAAAGGGGGTATAGTCCCCACTCATAATATGGTGGATGAGGAGTCATTGGTCTGTAGAAGGAAAGAATACAAAATCTAAACGGAAATTTCAAGAAAAGATGGTGGGAAGGAGTTTTATTCATTTAGAACCAATGGTGGCTTCATTCTTCAAATTCCTTTGACAACAGGCTCTACCACTGTGTGACCTTGAGTTTAAAACTTTTCTAAACCCTTTCAAGCCTCCTTTTCTCATCTATAACTTGGAGATAATACATAACTCACCTGTTATTGTGAGAATTCATTTCAATCCTTACATATAGGGTCTGGGCCCTGTCCTACCTGTCTTAAATTCTGTGCCGGGCCCTGGAGACACAGGTGAACAAAACCTCAATCCCTGCCCTCTGAAAGCACACCTGGATATTGTGGGATAGGAAGGGGGACGGGGAGGGGACAAACACAGATAATTTCACTTTGAGGTAATGAGAGCTAAGGTGGAAGCAAGCACTAAGTGAGAAAGGTGTCAGGGACTGCTTCTGGGGGAGGTAACTGAACTGAAGGAAGGAAGGTAGGAAAACCACAATAAATACAGTATTTGTTGAATGGCTTCTTAAATTTCCAGCAAGAGAGAATAGCAAGAAAGGAACAAAGCTGTTTGAAACAGTGGACCAATGTGCCTGGCGCATAATAGTGAATAAGTATTTATGCATGAATGAAAATTACATACTGTTACTCATTATTACAGGATGAAGAAGGAGTGGCACAAAATGAGTCTGGAGAGAAGAATATGCATTAGATTATAAAGACATTGTGTATTTGTGTACTTTTCTAGGACTCTTCACTAATTCAGCAACTATGTATTGAACTACTTCTGTGTTCCAGGTACTTTATTCTGGGCAAAAACAAAGGTATGTTGAAAAGTTTTAACATAAGAAGATAAAGAGTTTTCATTTCTGGTAACTTTTAGACTTATGTGGAATAAAGTAATACAAATCCCTCCACAAATATCTAATGAGTCTGGGGCATGGATTTATAAGTTATTTGTACGTGCTTTCATTAGTTCATCCTATAAGTATTTAATTGAATGCCTACTGGGAAATAGCTACTTTGAAAAGCCTTACAACAATGAAAAAAAACCCAACTCCGTCTAGCTGCTCATAATGCAGAAGGTGACATAGTAAGAGACTTGCTATTGTAAGTATATCAGGAGTAATGGGAGCATGGCAGAGTACTTTATTTTATTTTATTCTATTTTATTTAAAAAATTTTAGGGGTGCCTGGGTGGCTCTGTCAGAGATTGATCCTGAGAAAGATCTTGTAGCAAGAACCACATCAGAAATACAGAAGAGGGGCACCCGGGTGGCTCAGTCGGTTAAGTGTCCGACTTCGGCTCAGGTCATGATCTCACAGTTCATGGATTTGAGCCCCGCATCGGGGTCTGTGCTGACAGCTAGCTCAGAGCCTGGAGCCTGCGTCAGAGTCAGATTCTGTATCTCCCTCTCTCTCTCTGACCCTGCCCTGCTCATGCTGTCTCTCTCTGTCTCTCTCAGAAATAAATAAAACATTTAAAAAAAAATTTTAATAAAAAAATAAAATACATTTTTTCATTTCAGGGGAACCTGGGTGGCTCAGTCAGTTAAGTGTTCAACTCTTGGTTTCAGCTCAGGTCATGATCTCACAGTTTGTCAACTTGAGCCCACGACGGGCTCTATGCTGATAGTACAGGGCCTGCTTGGGGACTCTCTCTCTCTCTTTCTCTCTGCCCCTCCCTTGCTTATCTCTCTCTCTCAAAATAAATAAACAAACTTAAAAAATAAATTTAAAAATATAAATAAATTAAAATTTTTTTTAAATTCTAGTGTAGTTAACAAACAATGTTATATTAATATGTTTCAGGCATACAGTATAGTGATTCAATAATTCTATATATTACTCAGCGCACATCATGATAAGTGTGCTCTTTAATCCCCTTCACCTATTTCACCCATCTGACCTACCCACCTACCTTTCCTCTGGTAACCATCTCATTGTTCCTTATAGTTAAAAGTCTGGTTTTATGGGGGGGAGGAGGGATGGGCATGGAGGAGGGCACTTGTGGGGATGAGTACTGGGTGTTATGTGGAAACTAATTTGACAATAAACTATTTGTAAAAAAAAAAAAAGGAGAAAGAAAAAAAAAGTCTGGTTTTAGGTTGTTTCCTTTCTTTGTTTTATTTCTTAAAATTCCAGAGATGAGTGAAATCATATGGTATTTGTCCTTCTCTGACTGACTTATTTTGCTCAGCATTACACTCTCTAGATCCATCCATGTTGTTGCAAATATCAAGATTCTATTCTTTTTTAATGGCTGAATAATATTCCATTGTATATATATATACACCACCTCTTCTTATCCATTCATTCATAAATTGATGAAATTTGGACTGCTTCCATAATTTGGCTATTGTAAATAATGCTGCAATAAACATAGAGGCACACATATCCCTTTGAATTAGTGTTTTTGTTTGCTTTTGTTAAATACCCAGTAGTACGATTACTGGATTGTAGGGTATGTCTATTTTAATTTTTTGAGGAAACTCTGTTCTGTTTTCCACAGTGGTTGTACCAGTTTGCATTCCTACCAGTAGTGCACGAGGGTTCCTTTTTCTCCTCATCCTCATCAACGCCTGTTTCTTGTGTTTTTGATATTAGCCATTTTGACAAGTGTGCAGTGATATCTCACTGTGATTTCAATTTGCATTTCCCTGATAATGAGTGATGTTGAACATCTCTTCATGTATCTGTTGGCCCCCTGTATGTCTTCTGTGGAGAAATGTATGTCCATATCTTCTCCCCTTTTTTTTTTTTTAATGTTTGTTTATTTTTGAGAGAGACAGAGACAGAGTGCAAGCAGGGGAGGGGCAGAGACAGATGGAAACACCAAATCTGAAGCAGGCTCCAGGCTCTGAGCTGTCAGCACAGAACCCAACGTGAGGCTCAAACTCACAAACCGTGAGATCATGACCTGAGCTGAAGTCAGATGCTTAACCAATGGAGCCACCCAGGTACCCCTTCTCCC